ACCTTCTTTGAAAAACAAATTAAATGATAACTAATTATTTAGTTAATTTCCTGTCATTCTTCACTTGGGTTTAATTCTGTTTTCAGAGTGTGTCGTCTACTAGTTACATCTCAAGAGTATCTATGGTGGTATTACCAGTTCATCAGAACTTTAAATTTAGCATGCAATATCTTAAAAATGTTAGTATATCAGGTTGATAATATTCTAATCTAAAAAGAAACTTGATGTTTACTGTGGCATAGCCTATACACATGCCTTGCTAGGGAACAAATAAGAATTAGATATAACTCGTGGACTCTAGTTGTAAAATTTGTATAAATCTCTTTTTCTTTTTTTGTAATTACTCTTCAAAATCTGTGCTACCAAGGATAGTGACAAAAGGCTAAACATGGGCATGTAATCTTGAAAAGATTATGACTTCTGTGGACTGTTGCATTTCTCAAAGTGTGCACCTAGGAATACAATTCTGTGTTAACTGTGGTTACGGGGAGAAAAGGATTTGGTGGTTTCATACAAAGACAGGTTTCTGAACTTCAGTGCTTCTCAGAGATCCGCATCTGTGTCCTTCTGACTCATTTAGGTAGTGTATGATCTATATGACTGTTCATGACAGAAGGGCAGCGGGGACAGAAACAGCAAAGCCGTGAACTCTGGCCATTTTCCCCTTGCAGACGCCTGCCATCATGTGTGCTGTGCACTGTACATACCCTTACTTCAGCCCCTCGACATCTTCATTTAGATGCTTTCTAAACACCACAAAGGTGGACTATCTTTAGATTCCACTTTTCTCATAACGTATCCAGCCTCTAGTTCATCTCCACATTTAGTGAATTTCTTTATATGTCCTTGGCTGGCACTTCTTGCCAGGCTCCGTCTGTCCCCTGCCTCCTGTACCCCATCTCATTCTTGAGATTTCATTTTTTTGGACTGTTTTGTTACAGCCCTCTCCTATGTCCACAATGGTATGAGAAATGGTAATTTACATACTCTCGTCACCTCTGAAATGTAAGCATTAATTACTCTTTTGGGTTTATTATGCAGTTATTTTGAAACTTTGTCATGTTTTTACCACATAAAGACATTATTACTGCTATTTTATATACAGGGAAATGTTAGTTTACATGTAGCTATGTGTTTACCACTTCCTTTGTTCTTGATTTTTTATTAAATATGGATTACTTTCTTTCAGATTAAGTTTATCTTTTAGTTCTTTTTTGGCTGACTCTGTGGTGGCAAACACTTTCATCTCTGCTGTTTGAAGAGTACTGATGTATTTTGGCTGTTTACATTTACAGTGACTGCTGAAACAGCTGTGCTAAAATCTGCCGTGTTCATGACTGCTCATGACTGTTCTCTACTCCTCACACTTGTCTTTTGTTTCCTTTAAATTCTGTCCTTTTAAAAAATATTTACTTATTCATTTTTTTATGTGTATGAGTGTATTGCCTACATGTATGTAAGTGCCCCATGTCATGCAATGCCCTCAGAGGTCAGAAGAAGGTGTCAGATCCCCTGGAACTGGAGTTAAGGATGGTTGTTAGCCACCATGTGGATGCTGGGAATCAAATCCAGGTCCTCTGCAAGAGCAACCAGTGTTCTTAACCACTGAGCCACCTTTCTAGCCCCCTATCTTGTTTTTTTAATTAAAAACCTCTATTTACTTAGAAGCACTCAGAATGTCAACAAAACAGAAATTTCTTTTTATTTTTGAAGTTACACAATAGTAACAGAACAGTTACAAACATCAGAGATATTTGGAGATGAAAAATAAATCTTACCATTTCTATGCAAACTAATGTGTTCTGTGCACCAATAAGCAATCTGCTTTCAATTTCCATGCCAATTTATACCCCCATACTGCCAGGCAAGGTTAGTGGCTATTAAAAATACCACCAGGACAGATCTATTGTCTTTAGTGTGTCTGTAGAGACTAGTGTGTTAGAAAAAAAAAAGATTGGGGTATTGGATTAAAAACAAATCTTATGCAGCCTTTAATTTTATTATTTTTGTTAAAAGGGAGTTGTATATGGAGATTAAAAGCTTTATCAACAGGAAAGAAAACTAAGCCAGAACTAACTTATTCAGCATCACCTTCATCTTCCTCCAATTTCTTGGTTTTCTGAACCCTGACAACTCCACTTTTACTGCATCAGTTTTATTCTTTTCAGCAGCAGGCTAGCCCAGCTGTCTCCTTCTGTTCTCTCCTCTGAAACAGCAGCAGCAGGCTAGCCTGGATGTCTCCTTCCACTCTCTTCTCCTGACTGGGATCCTTGAGCTCCCTTTTGTTCCCCTTTAGAAGACACAGGTTTCCATTTCTCTTTCTTGTTCACCTTTGCCCTGTCGTCAGGTTTTTCTGTTTCTTTAGCAACATGCTAGTCCTTGAATATGTCTTAGAGAAAGCTCTGAGGCCTGACTGAAGCATCTGGGAGCCCGTGTTCCTCCTGGCAGTTTTGTACAGAGTGCACTTTGCCTCTCTGCTTCTTAGGATCTCTTCTGCCTACGTTTGTTTTCCCTTTTTACATAAAACTTTACTTCAAGGAGGGAGGAGCAGCAAGTGCTAGCACTCGGTTTGGCCCTGAGCTGTACCATCTGTTCTGACCAAACACATCAGGTCTAGAGTTTATTCACGCAAACAAGGGTAAGGGTCAAAAGCCACTCTTGCTTGAGGTTCAGCAGCCCCCTACCTGCCACTGGGAGGTATTTCTTTTTCATATTTGAGAAAGCTGGGGTGCCTGGAATGTGGGGCAGACTCCCAGTCCCCAGATGAGGCTGTCCCATCAGACTTTTCAAATACTTCGTGATTCCATTTTCTCTCTTCTTATGATATCAGTTAATTCCCTTTTAAGTTGCTGCAGCATTTGCAATATATATGTATATATAATGAATCCATGTTCCTTTTTAAAACACAGTACTATTTTAACAGGTACTGCCTACGCCAGCATGCTCCTGAGTCCTCCCTCCAACCTTCTAGTGTTGCTGGCCTTCAGTTCATATCTCCATAATTTCAACCATCCAGGCATGATTATTATAACTTAAATAGTTATGTAATAGTAAGAAGAAAAATGACATTTTATTTTACTTCATGCATTCCTTTTCTAATACACTTCCTTCCTTATGTAGCAGACCCACATTCTGACATACTTTTTCCTTCCCTCTGAAGAATTCAACATCTTATGTAAGACAGATCTAAAGGTGGTCGTTAATTCCCTCAATTATTTTTTGAGAATGATTTTATTTTCTCCATCACTTTGTTTCTTGAGATAGAGTCTTGTTAAGTAGCCCAAGCTGGTCTTGAGCTTCACTGCTTCGCTTCTGGGGTGCTGGTGTACGGGGTGCTACCACACTACCGTCTTCTTTGCTTCAGGAGTAATTTTGTTGAATCCATTGTGCTAGGTTGGTGGTTTTCTCTTTCACTGTAAATATTTTACTTCATATTCTTTTTCCTTGCATGGTTTCTGATGAGAAGTCTGATGTAAGTCATAGAGCTAATTTTAAAACTATGACTCAAGAATTTTTTTCCTTTGTCTTTAATTTTTCTATAGTTTGAAGAGGATATGCCAAAATATTGACTGCTTTTGCTGATTATATTTGTTTGGTGTCTTCCAAGCTTCCCAGATCTGCATTTTGGTGTCTGTCATTGATTTTAGAATTTGTCAGTTTTTATACATAAAATATTTCTTCTTGCTCCTCCCTTATTTTTACTTTATGTGTATGAGTGTTTTGCCTACATGTATGTAAGTATATCCATGTATGCAATGCCTGCAGAGGCCAGAAGAGGGCATCAGATTCCCCTGGAACTGGAGTTAAGGATGGATGGTTGTTAGCTGCCATGTGGTGCTGGGAACTGAACTTGAATCCTCTGCAAGAGTAGCCAGTGTTCTTAACCTCTGAGCCACCTCTATAGCCCATCTCTCCACAGTGGAATGTCACATCTTTCATTAACTGTCCCAAAATTCTTGAAAATTATCTCTGTCTATACTTTTAGTTCTTGCTTTTCTTTGCATTTGAGCCTGGGGAGTTTCTGCTGACTGACATCTCCTCTTTTCCTTGACCGTGTACAGCTACTGAGAGCCTGTCAGGGGCTGTGTGCATTTTTATTTCAGTCTTTTTGTTTCTAGCATTTCCTGAGGAATGACTGCTCAGCAATCTGAATTTCCACCTCTGCTTACATTATCCGTGTAGTCTATTTTCATCCAGAGTCCTTAAGTGGTAGTTACTGTATATTATCTCTCTGATAATGCCATTGGTTTTGGATTAGTTTGCTTTATCTCTCCAGACTGGCTTTTTTCTTGCCCTTTAGCATGACTTCTGATTTTTTTTTGTTGTTGATAATTAAAGTATCATAACTGATGAAAGTAGGCTGTTGGGGGGCAATATTATGTTAACCTAGCTAGGTTCTGGGTTGTTCAATGTTAGTTTGTGTTCCCAGATGTCCCCTGGTGTGAGTTTATCCCCTGGAGCCTAGTCACCCTATCTAACACCACTCCTTTAAAGAAGGCCAGTTCTCCCTCACCCAGCAGTGACCAGTTGGCAACAGTTCCTCAGCAGAGGTCTGGGTTTCTTCCCCATTTCTATGCTGGGTTTTTGCCCGTTTTTTAGACATTCATTTTTTCTTCTTCATTTCCGCAAGAGACTGGAGGCTATGAGGGGCTAGAATCCTCTATTTGCCTTTTTCTTTGGGTCAGATAAGGTCCCTGATGAAGTACTTTCCCTTAGAGGGCAGGTCTTGGCTCTTGTTTTGGAGAAGCCTGGATGTATTTCCAAATGCTTAAATGTCTCCTTTTATTCCTGCCAGGCAAATGAGGGAATTTTCTTCTCACCACACAAGAAACCTGGTAGAGTCCAGAAGAAAAGCCAGACTGCTGGGCATGTTGAACTTTCAAGTTAGTCCTCACCAGCCTTGATTAACCCATCACAGTGGGTAAGACTCTTCCTGAGATCAGCTTCTTTCCCTTAGTAATGTATCCTTAAGGTTCCTCAACGTCTGTCTGTTCATGGCATTGCAGCCCTTTTTTCAGTGTAATATGCCATCGTTTGGATGCAGTGCCAACTGGAATCCAGCTCATGACTCCCAAGTTTTGCTGAATATAAGTAAATTTGCTATAAATATCCATACATACTAAGTTTTCACCCTGTGTCCTGAACAAGCAATTGCTACATCAAATGTTGCAACTGTGTTTAGTTTTGTAGGAACTACCAAACTGTATTCCAAATGGCCAAGACCATTTTGCAGTTGCATTAGTGAATCAGAGTTCCTGTGGCTCCACACCCTCACCACCCTTTGGTGTGGTTATTGTTCTGGATGTGGTCCATTCTAGACAGTTCCCTGGTGATAAATGCTGAGCAGCATAGTTTTGCATACTGATGTGCTATCTTTATTACATCTTCTTTAGTGAGGTACCTTTGAATAGCCTCAGTCTACTTTTAAAATCAGATTTTCTTATTATTGACTTTGAATAGTTCTTTATATATTTTAGAGAATATCAAGTATACAGACCTTCCTTTTATTACTTATTGAAAATGCCAAATGAACTAATGTAGACAAGATTCATTAAATTTTTTGAAAAAAAATCTAGTTTTATTATCTTTGCTAGCTGAAAGTAATCTCCCCAAGGTCTAAATGTTAGCTGTCATGTTTAAACTTTCACAGTGTTCTGGGGCCATCTCACATACATGGCAGTAGTGACTATACAAGTACAAATCACAGGGCAATAGAGAATCAAAATCAGAGCTGTTGGCTCTCTCTCCATGTCTCATATAGTGGTGCCACCAAAGATGGAAGGAAGGAAGGAGAAAGAAGTCTTCACAAATTCTCAGCAACTGAGGTCTCTGAAGCTCATAGACTTCTTTCTATCATACCCATTTATCTTCATAACCTTGATGCCACCGAGTATACCTTTCTCAGATTTTGTTCTTTTGAAAATCACCTGGACTTCAGAACACATAGACTTGGTACAATTAATAGTACTATATAAAAAATACCTTGGTTTCTAGGCTTTCAGATATCATGAATTGTCATAATTAGAAGTGAATATGTGGTTCACCAACCTGAAGAGAGTAGCAGTAAGGTTTTCATACAGAGATACTCTTCATAAGATACCTGCAGTCTTTGTAACTCAGAGGAAACAAACAGCATCTGTTTACATTGCTCATACATGCAGGGTAGAGTCATTCTCTGCCTGGGAGAGACAAATACAAGGGTTTGAGTTAGAACGCAACAGTGCTAGTTCAAACAAAGTAGCTATCTTTTTTTTTGTTTTGTTTTAAAAATTTATAAACTATGACCGAAAGCCCAACTATTGCTGTTAACACTAACTTATAGAATTAGAATGTTGGATAACTTTCCTTAAGCTTATTTTTGGTTCTAGAGTATCTAGAAACTATATACATTAGGTATCATTTTATTTATGTTGGCATTTAGACTATATTGCCAGTTGCTTGTTTAATGCAACATTTGGCATTTGATTACGGTTAGACACATAGCACAGTTTCAGATCCTCCAGAAGGCACTTTTTTTTTTTTTCCAGAGCTTTCCATCCTAAAGACAAGCATGTGTGGTAGCTATGCAGAGGGCCTCAATTCCACTCCTCTTAGATGCCTGATACCTGGCTGCTTCTGATAGACTTGTGATTGAATACTCTTTTAACTCAAGGGACCAAATCAGTCTTGATTATGATTTTCAACAGTAACTATCACATCTGTGATTTTCAAATAGAACTCTAAAGTTTTCTCATTTTTGAAATGGACATTAACAACCTGAAATCGCCTAGTTCATGGCTTTTAAAATATGTAAAGAAATGTTCTTTTTTATATTTCTCAGAAAAGGCAATCTGTGACTTTATTACTTTTCTCTACTGAAGATGTAGTTTCCTTTTTAAAAAAATATTTTATTTAATATTTTCATTTTATGTGTATGAGTGTACTGCCTGCATGTGTGTTAAGTGCACCCATGTTGTGCAATGCCCGAGGAGGTGAAGAAGGTGTCTGATCCCCTGGAATTGGAGTTACAGATGGTTGTTAGCCACCATGTGGGTCCTTGGAATTGAACCCAGGTCCTCTGTAAGAGCAATCAGTGCTCTTAATTACTTAGCCATCTCTCCAGCCCCTGAAGATGTAGTTTCTTTAGATGATAAAATTAATTAACTATAAATTGTATGCTGCTGAAGTGGTCATGAATGAGCTCTTACAGTTCTCCAAATTTAAAATGCCTCACCAAAGAGCCACCTTCCCTACCATAATAATAGTTATGAATCAATCATATTAATATATCTTACAATTAATTAAAATATAAGTAAATACAACTAAATAATATATAATCTTTTTCTGGTAGCTTTTTTCCTTTTTGTTTCTTATTCATGGCTAGGCTCCTTATATTAATAAAAATTTCAAGGCAGTCACAGCACAGTGGAGTAAGCAGTGAGAGCATTCTCAGCGCATTTCATATGCCTTACCCTGTCACTTCTTAGTTCACAAGAGAAAGTCCTTCAAGAAGCCCTGAGCTACATCTAAAACAGACCTCTTTCTGGTAAGAACTGTATCACAGCTGGAAACCATATCATGTACTTTGTGGTTATCTGTGTCTCTCGGACTAATATGGAAGCAGCTGAAGATCAGGAACTTTATTGTCTTATGCTGGAGTTAAGGGTATAGCTCAGTTGGCAGAGCACTTGCCTAGCATGTTTGAGGTTCAATCCTTAGTCTCTTCTCCTCCCCCCAGTGAAGACTAAAAGTGCGGTGAATATTTATTTGTTGTTTGCCTCTAATCCATTCTGGCTGTTTCCTAGTCCTAGAAATCTAAACTGTTTCGTGGACTGCATGATTGTGCTGATCTCTGTTCACCCTCTAAACACACCCTACACCGCAGGGGTTCCATCCACTGCTCCTGAGCCAAGCTCCTTCAGCTCTCCATGCTTGTTTCTTTGCCGAGTCCTACACTTTCACAGCCTGTCCTTTTGTGTATTGAATGATTAGCTGTTCAGGCCTGCCGGAATCATAAAAATCAATTACCCTCCCCCCCAGTTACACAATTTTATTATGGCTTTATGAAATAATTTTGGACATTTATTTGAATTCTCCCATCAGAGTGTTCTCAGGGACCTTATCCATTTTGTCCATTATTTTATTCCAAGCTCTCACAATAGTCCCTGGCTCTTGATAAGTGCACAAGTACCACTGAAGGAATATGGTATTAGAAAATTACAAGTATCACCAGTGGAGAACCAATGTTAACATTAACTGGGATGGTTAACTACTTCACCAGGAATGCAGCTAGCTAACAGCTAGGAAACTTGAAATTTCTGCCATACGCAGTTTTATTTATTCTGTGAGATACCTGGTCTTGCAGTTACCTGGTAGTAACACAAGGAAGAGGTGTCTAGGATTCCCTCATAACCCATGGCTTGCTTCTTGTACACTCCCTAAAAATTTCTTTAAAATATTTGGGGCTAATATTTAGTTCCTTCTAAAACACTTGAAAGGAGCTTTTTAATGTCATTAAGTCAGACTCTCCAATTTAACATTTTCTCCAGTGGATGCTTTTCTGTAACAATACATTTTTTTCACCTGGGGTACACAGCAGGGAATGTCTGTTATTTTCATACACTATCTCTGTGGGCTGTCCTGAATGCTCTTAAATCTCTCTAAATATTCCATGTTTGTCAACTATTAGTTTCTCAGATGTTTGCTATTCTGGACACATTTCATGTGTTCATTGTTACATAAAGTGGAATTGAACTATTATTGAGCTAACAGGGTTTTATGATTTCACTACTTTTTGGAGGAACTCTTAATAGACTCTATAGTTCACAATAAAGAAAACAATTCTCTCATTTTTTTAACATAAATACAAACCTCCATTTTGGATTGTGTGTGTGAACTCATGCAAATTCTAGGAATGGAGATAAGCTATTGACGCAAGGACTATTAATACAAATAAAATAACAACTCAGGATATACAGCAAAGAGGTTACATTTAGTCTGACCATGAGCTAAGAGGGTGTGCTTGAAGAAGGGATGATCTGAGCGGCGACAAAGAGCATTTAAAAGAAACAATGGTGGGGCTACAGAGATGGCTCAGTGGTTAAGAGTACTGATTCTTTTGCAGAGGATCTGGGTTTGGTTTCCAGCACTTACACGGTGGCTAACAACTATCTGTAACTCTAGTTCCAGGGTATTTGATGCTCTCTTCTGATCTCTGGGGGCATCGGAGAACATGGGTACACTAACATGGATGCAGACAAAACACTTGTTTGTACTGTGTGGGTTTAAAAAAAAAAACCCCAAAACAATGGGAAACAAAATAAGGCCAGGTTCTGAGAAGCCAGAATGAAACCATGCAGAGGATGGTCAGCCAGGTGATATTGAAAATACCTGCATATCGGGGAGATATATGAGTGATCAGAACTGTGCTTAAAGAAAACATTAGTCACACAATGAAGAGTGTGATGGAGGTAGAAAACTAGTGAGCAAAATGCAGGGAGGCTGGGGACTGCACACCTGACATTGTTCGCAAATATCAGCACAGGCTTATAGATAAGAAAATGGCCTATTTATGAAGTTTAAGTTGTGACTGTTCTTCAATTAAAATCAGTATGTTGCCTCATATTCATTCTTTTCTATTTTTAGACATGCAGCCCAAGCTGACCTCAACTTTGCTATGTAGCTGAGGATGACCTTGAACTTCTGATCCTCCTGCCTCTACCTCCTCAGTGCTAAGATTATAAACAGGCACCATCACATGAAGTTTATGTGATGCTGTGGATCAAGCTGAGGGCTTCGAACATGCCAGGTAAGCACGCTACCAACTGAGCTCTCGCTACCAACTATGTCTCCAGCTCAGCTCTCGTTTTCTTTCTAAGGCACGGATGATGGAAGCCTATACACAAAGAGATACCTCTTGTCTGCGTCAGTACCACCTCCCACGCACTTGGAGGGGATGTCCTCATTGTTCTATTGACTCCACATGAGTTTTCTCATATTCAGTTTCTTTTCAAGAGTAGGGTTATGTAACCGAAACAATTTATAATAAGATTATTGTTATTTGTCACAGACTTTACTGACCTTAGGCTCCCAAGATGCCCACTATGTAAAGATTTTTTAAAGCATGTTCTGAGACAGTAAGAATGGCATATGTACTCTACATCGCAATTAACATGTCCCAAGCACTGAGGAACAACTGTTTCAAAGTTTGTCCAGTTCCTAGATAGTAGGTAGGATTGATTCAGTCCTGAATTATTACAATAGCAATCTATCAGGAAAACATCAGCTGGTTAAAATATCACACGCATGAATACAAGGTAAATAACTCACATAGAACTTACTCATTAATAATCAGATCAGGAGCAAAACACAGCAAGTTTCCATTTGATTGTCTGTATGATCTCCATCCCAGGGCAAATGCCATGAGAAACATCCATGAGTACTGCAGGAGGGTCATTTGGTCATCCAGGTGTAAGTTTCTGAATCCTGAATTAGGAATGAAGGCATGAGGCAACACTCTAGCTGATTGTTTAACATAATGAAATGCTAAGTGAATAAGCTTTCCTTTACCATCTGTTAGATCAAGACCCGGCACTCAGAACTTTCTAATGGCTTAACAAAACTTATGAGTACCCAGGTTTTGTCACTTTTTGTTGATTTAAGAAAATACGAACTAAGTATAGTAAAAGAGAAAGCCAAAAGTCTTGGCTTAGGTTATTTCTCAATGAGTTTATATCTAAAAATCCCCTGATATTTATCTTCTTTCCTTTGCTAGAGTGGGAATGGCAGGAGGGTAGGTTCCTGCTCTTGTTCAGCTTGTTTGTGCAACCAGCTTCCCAATCCCCTCTGCCTGTGACATCAGGCCTGGCACTAACACTGACTTCTACAGTGCCAAAGTTCCAATGGTGAAATTTTGGTTAAAATCTTTTTAAATTAGACGAAAATTTGTATTTGGTGTGTGGCATGTCATTTAGTGAAAAGCTGCAATAGTTTTGTGTTAGTAAATTTTGACAAAGACAACAAACACTCCCAATGTGTCAGTTTCCAAAACAACCTTAAGAAAAACACATGGACTTCTTAAATGTCATCCCCCCTCCAGATGTTAGTGTCAATGGAATTTTGAATTAGTTCTGACAGTACATAATCCCACCTAAAATTAAATGCTGTGGGTAATGGCCTGAAAATCAGGGAGTGGTACATAAGTTTTATCATAGGCCTCCCTTACTTACTTGACTCTCCGCTCATAGTCTGCAGAATTCAGTAAGAGAAACAAGCTACGCTATGAGACCAGGACAGTAAACAGCCTACACAGTCTTTGAGAGGTTTTATTTTCTTGTGGTACTGCAGACTGAATTCAGGGCCTTGTACATGGTAGGCAAAAGGCATACCACTGAACTGCATCCCCAGTTCATCCTGGAGGGTTTTTGTTCAAGAAAATACAAAGATTTCTAGGGCCAGGTGTGGTGGTGCACGCCTTTCATCCCAGCACTCAAGAGACAGAGGGAGGAGGATCTCTGTGAGATCAAGGTCAGCCTGGTTTACATAGTGAGTTCCAGGTCAGCTGGGGCTATGGGGAGACTGTCTCGAGAACAGAGAGACAACACAGAGACACAAAAGTGTCTACTGTAGCTCTGCCACCTTCCATCTTACCTGGTATCGCCTTTGCCCATTTCACTGCTGCAATCACTTGGCGCCCACCTAACATGTTGAGTGTGCTCATGATTCTCCAAGCTGAATCTGGAACAGAGCTATCATATCCTGCATATAACACCTCAGGTTCAATTACCTCCAGCAGTGACACCAAGGTAGGAGTCAGCTGAGGTAATGTTGCAGGAACTATGGTTTTGTTAGCAGGATTTTCAGAAGGGTCTTGTGAAACTCCTGTGGTGGCTTGTTGGATTCCTTTTATTTTCTTCTTTGTTTTCCGAGCTGTAAGTATCGAAACATATACAGAAATGAATTGTAATCAGATGGTGTGGGCTGCAAAGTTGATTCCAGAGATATTTAATACCTGAAACTATTATTGAAAGAAGAGGAATAATTTTTCTCCTCTTATGGCTTGTGTATGTTTGAGTGTGTGTGTATATGAGTGTGTGTGTGAGCATGTATATGTGTGTGAGCATGTATGTATGTGAGTACTTAATGATCGTGAATATGTGTGTGTGTGTATGTGAGCATGTATATGTGTATGTAAGCATGTGTATGTGTGTGGTTGAGTATTTATATACGGGTATGTGTATGTGAGCATGTGTGTGTAAATGTGTATGTAAGCATGTGTGAGTGTGTGTATGCTAGTGCATGTGTGTGAGCATGTATGTATGTGTAAATGTGTGCATGTAAGCATGTGTGGGTGTATGTGTGTGTGTGTATGTGAGCATGTATATGTGTATGTAAGCATGTGTGAGTGTGTGTATGCTAGTGCATGTGTGTGAGCATGTATGTATGTGTAAATGTGTGCATGTAAGCATGTGTGGGTGTATGTGTGTTTGTGAGGGGGTGTGAATGTATATATATATGTGCTAGTGTATGTGTGTGAACATGTGTACATAAATGTGTATGCAGGCATGTATGTACATATGTGTATGTAAGTGTATATGTATGGTAATGTACACATGTGAGTGTATGTCTGCTTATGTGTGTTTATGTGAGCGTGTATGTGAGCACTTATGTGTATGCTAGTGTTTGTGAGTATGTATGTGTGTGTGTAAATGTGTGTATGTAAGCATATGCATGTGAATGTGAGTATGCTAGTACATGCATGTGTGAGTCTATGTGTATGAGTATGTATATGCATGCATGAGTATATGTGTGTGCATGCATGCATGTGTGAGTGTGCATGTAAGTGTACATGAGGGTGTGTGTGTGTGTGCTGTGGATGTGCCCACGTATGGGTAGGAGCATGTACTGGTGCATGTGCTCAAGGCTGGAAGGTGGGTGCTCTGCTCTGTCACACCCCGTCTTATTCCTTCACAAACGGGGTCTCACTGAACCTGGAGCAAGGCTGGCAGCCAGCCAGTTTCAGCAGTCCTGCTGTCTCCACCCCATCCCCCACTGAACCGGGGTCACAGGTATACCCACAGCACAGGCATGTCTAGCTTTATACATGGGTGCTCAGATCTGACTTCAGGTCTCATGTTGTCTACCAAGTGCTCTATCCACTGAGCCTTCTCTCTAAGCCTCAGCAGTCTGTTTAGTAGCGAAGATAATGAGACATGGAAAAGGAGGACTTTTTGTGTTCTGAAAGGAAAAGATCCACAGGAATCCTCTTCCATAACTCACTTTCCCTAAAAGCCAGTAATTTACTGTTTACTGGAAGTCTTCAGCACTGTTAAAACAATCTGAACAAATTGCTCCATGTGGATTCTTCCATAAATTAGTCTCATTTTCACTCATATGAAAATTTCACGTAGGTTATATAGCATACATCAACTTTTGTCATCAATTAAAAGAATCTGTCTAGACTGCAATAGTAAATGAGAAGCTGTAGCTGTCCAGCCTAAATTACTGTAATATATTACGAAAACAGCTACACTCTATATACTGTACATAGACCTCTTTGAAGACAGGAAGGCAACACTGCATACTAAGAATAGTACTGCTTCTTACTGTCTCCTTTTACCTTTAGATGACAGATACACTCAGGGAAAATACCTGAGTTACAAAAAAATTCTGTATTTCTTCACATAATTTATCAATGAGAAATTTCCCTCATAAGGAACATTTGTACTAATTACAATAAATATAAAACATTCATTTTTATACTGAATATATAGTTATTTCCTATCTCTGATTTTGTGTAAAACAGTTATATCAAATTACAGCATGGTTTCTATAGATATTTTTCAGTGAATTTCTCTATATTCTTAAAGTGAATTATTTTGCTAAGAATTGTATTATTCTTTTAAAGAGACAGTACTGAGAGCACCAGGAAAGGGCAGACTGTGGTTACACGAACGAAGAAATGCACCTGCCTCAGTGGTGAGGGATGCAAACCGTTTTTCAAGGGGAAAAGTAAATACAATTTAAAACATTTTTAGTTTCCTCTGTCCCTAAAATGACAAAATATGAAATCTGTGGAAGACAGATACAGTGGAAGGAATTATGTCTAATGTCCAATGTTAGAACGGAAGAAGAGAAAATCTTGTCATTTACATTGTTCTATGGACACTAAGAAATTTAAGAATTTTTAGTTATTTTAAAATAGAGACTGGGTCATATGACAGAACTTTCCAACAGTTTCTACACTCTTGGAGGCATGTATAGTTTAGCAGTAAAGAGCACAAATTTGAAATCACCACATTGAACTTAAATCTTGTTTTGTCATTTGGTGGCTAGGTATTCTGTGCAAGTTATTTACTAGCTACTTTAGCCCTCTCTTCTGTAAAATGAAGATATTAGTTCTGATCTCATGGGGTTGTTGTGAGAATTAAATAAAAATATGTAAAATGCTTAGAACAGTTCCTGTCACACATGGCAATACCATAGTTCTATCACTACTTTAATCTGTAATATCTTTTAAAATTTAAAATATATTTTGGGGGCTAGAGAGATGGCTCAGCAGAGGACCTGGGTTTGGTTCCTAGTATCCCATAATGACTAACAATAGTCCATAGCTATAGTTCCAGGGGATCAGATGCCATCTTCTGGTCTCCTTGGGCATTGTGTACACAGGTGCACTTACATACATGCAGGTAAAACAGACACACAAAATAAAAATAATCACCGGGCATGATGGTACATGCCTTTAATGGAAGCAGAGGCAGGAGGATTTCCATAAGTTCAAGGCCAGCCTGGTCTATGTAGTGACTTTCAGGCTAGTCAGGACTACATAGTGAGACTGTTGCAAAAAAAAAAAAAAAGCAAGAAATAAATAAAAATAAATATTTAAAAATATGTAATATTTTATGAATCCTTTGAGAACTCCATTCAATGTATTTTGATTATATTTACTCTGTAATATGATTTTAAAATACTTAAAACTCAGAAAGCGGGCTGGACAGATGGCTCAGCGGTTAAGAACACTGGCTCCTCTTGCAGGAGACCAGCGTTCAAATCCCAGCACCCACATGGCAGCTAAGAACTGTCCATAACACCAGTTCCAGGGGATCCAACATCTTCCTCTGAGGGCATTGCACAACACAGGAATACACATACACACAAAATAAAAATAAGTAAAATATTTTTAAAAAACCTCAGAGTTCGACTCTGTAAAGGACTGACACCTTTCAAAAAGGAAGCCCTTTAATGCATCCAAAATGCTCTCCCATAAACTCAGATTTAAAATGTGGAGTGTAATTTGTTGGTGGAAGAGAGAACATGCACTTCCCAGGTTAATACACTCAAACTCCTGTAGAAACCTCAACCACAATTCCACAAGGTACAGACTTCACATTTCTACACATCAGGGGAGAGAAGGCCAATGGTTGGCTAGTGGCCTCTGGAAGCCACTTTCTATTCTCGGCATATGACTAATTTTGATTAATTATTGTCCTAAATGAGTAATGATACCCTCTTCCTTTCTTTCTTTTTGTGGTGCTGGTCCAAAACCCAGGGCCTTGAGATGCTAAGCAAGTACTCTACTATGTAGCCACATCCCCAGCCCTTGATGTTTTTGCATAAAGCTCCAAGAGTGCTCATGAACCTAACTGTGCTGTGCCAACTACAGCAAGAAACAGTACCAATATACTTCCAAAGGCTCTCCAGCAAGGAGTTAATAATTTAGTGGGGAAATCACTATTCTAAGCATTTTAGGTAATATTTACTTTGTCCTAAGTTGTTTACCCATTATAGTATCAGCCAGTACAGGTTTTTGAGTCACTAGTGCTGTCATTTGTTTTACTTTTTCTTAAGTTTAATACTTAAAGAATATTAGGCAAGAAATCTGATAATGCTGCAATAAACCTGCTTTCCTAGAAGTTCCATTTGACTGTTATAACAAAAATAAAGCTATATTAGGAATGGTTATAGTGTACTTTAAAATTAAACGTGTATAAAACATTAAAGATCACCATTAAAAAACTCATCTGAATTTAAATGTTAGGGCCTTTAAAGAGTGCCTTAAAATAAATCTTGAGATTTATTTGTTATGGGGTAGCAGTATCAAAATATATCACTTGCAGCAATACCAAGCTACATTTTCAGAGAAGTAGGCTCAGCTAGAGCTAAGCACTTCTCCATACTCGCTCTGAGGGCTGGCATCAAAACTGCTTGGTAGGGCTGGAGAGATGACTCTGGTTAAGAGCACTGGCTGCTTTTGCAGAGGACCCGGGTTTAATTCCCAGCACCCACATGGTGACTAACAACCATCCGTAACTCCAGTTCCAGGGGATGACAGGGGATGAGGCCCTTTTGTGGCCTCTGAGGGCACTGTATGAAATGGGTGCACTTATAAACATGTAGTCAAATCACACATACACATAAAAAAAAAAGCAAGAAAACCTTGCTTGGCAGAAGGGAACACTCTGTTTCTCTCTCTCTCTTCCTCTCCTCCTCCTCTTCTATTCCCTTTCCTTTGTTTCTCTTTCCCTTCCCCTTTCTTTTCTTCCTTTTGAGACAGGATCTAATGTAGTCCAGGCTAGCTATGAACTTGCTAAGACTGGCCTTGAACTCCTTATCCCCTTGCCTCTTACATTCTGAGATTACTCACCTGGCTAAAGAGATTGTTTCTAAAGATTAAAGAAATAGTGAAATCCATGACTCTTCTATTTTGTTCTTTAAGTATTATGGTCTGCTAAATATTTCTGGCATCAAACACAAACCTCCAAACAACTTATGATGTATTAGGATTAATTACAAAAATAAGGCTTTCACACTAAAATTATACATATGCAAACATTAATGTATAGTATTTCTAATGCTTTGACTCCAAATGAAATCAGATTGTCAGCTACATGATCTATGCCATTTAACATCCAGTATATCATAAAATAACAAGCTAGAACTTTGTTCTTCCATGCAGGATAATAGTGGATATAAAGCTAATCTTACACCTACTCTAAGACTTTCTAATATGAGGGTTCAAAGTAACCCGAGTAGAACATACATGAAAAACTAGCAATGCAATGTGACTCTTAATGAATGCCACATTTGTATACACTGACCATTTATAAAAGCACACAATTTTTTGTTAATATAGTATTCTGAGAACTGCAGCTTGAATTAAATTATATGCTTAAACTTTTATTCATTAAAAAAAAATTGACAGGCTTTCAACCAAAGAGCAGACTGAAAGGGCAGGGCGGTACTTAGATTCCAGTCCCTGCACTGGCTGTCTGCTAGTGAGAAAGAGCAAAGGGCACTGAAGCTGTCATTCATTGGCTTGTTTAAGCAGGAGGAGAAATAGGATGGATGTAGGGGCAACTTACTGTCAGAATCACTACTCTATACTTGCTGACTTCGTACTCATTTTATGTTTGCTGATGAATACTTTCTGAACCAAAGTACTGAAAAACATGAGTTATTAGAACATCACTTTCATAGAATGTGCTATTTTGACTATAGAAAAATTCCAAACGTTTTTAGAGGAAAGTTTTAAAATGAGATCAGTGTTAATTATGCAACTTATTATATAAACAGGAATATGAAATTCTGACTTAAAACTAGTTTTGGTTTCCTTTTTAACTTAAAAAAACAAAACCAAACCTATCCAATGCCTCCTTCAGTTTGTTTGTTTTTGGTATGTTGCAATAAGATGTATATTTTCAAATAAAAAGTGTGTTTTTAAAATGTAATAGAGAAAAGAACATGAAATATATCTTATATGCAAGACCTTGGAACAGTTTTGAGTCTTAGGAAAGGAATAAGAAACATAAAAGCAAAGTTGCGTCAAGTTGTGTAATTTCCAATATTACACAATTTCTTTTCTTGATATATACTCTGGCAGTCCTGTATGTGCATCACTGTATGTAATAGGAGCTGATGAACAAACAAATACATGATATTCATGGAATCCTTTTTTATTGGACAGTAATATAAAATTATGCTAGTTAAGCACATGTACAACTCCATAAACTGACTTATTAAATTATTATAGCTGCTTACCTTTTTTTTTTTCTAAGACAGAGTTTCGCTATGTAGCCCCTGGCAGGCCTAGAATTTGCTATGTGGACCAGGCTGGCCTGGAGCTCACAGAGATCCTCTTGCCCCTGCCTCCCAAGTTACACTCACTCATTTTTAAAAGCTAAGTGACCAGTTTTTTAATGACAGTTCCTTTCAAGTGTTCCATTACCTTCTAGGTTCATTCCAGCTTGAAGACATTTTCGATAGCGGCATGCTGGGCAGTTTTTTCTTCGAATTTTATCAATAATACAATCATTTCTTCCTGCACAAAGGTAATTGTGCTGTCCTATAAGGAATAAAATGCATTGTTAAAACTCCACAGGTCTTTAAGGATATTTTTTATGAGGAGCCTCTTTCTGTTTTTGTTTTGAGCAGAATATGGCTAAGACACAAAGGCATTAAGGAAGGTAACAGTGTGATTTTCTACATAAATTATAATGTTGAAAGGTCTTGTTCAGTTCATCAGTTTTGTCTATGGAAGCAGGGCCTTACACACTATCACATATATAAAAGTCACAAAACGTAAGTGTATTCTCAGATCAAGAAACTGACTATACCCCACAAATCTGCTTTGTGTCTGGTCACTACTCCTAAAGGTCAGAATTTTTTTTTTTAAATTGTACTTTATATAGTTCTTTTAGAAGTTAAAAAAGGTGTCTGTAATCACTGTTTTATTACAACTTCTGAACCAATGCTATTAAGACTGAAAGAGGAAACTGATTTAAAAATATTGTAGGAATCTCAAAGAGAAAATGATTTTAATTCAGTATTATACCATCAGTCAGATAAAATGTGCTCTTCTTCCCAGTTCTAAAGAAAATGGGTTATTAAAGTTGCCAGTAGCTGTTTACGTAAATCACAAACTTGGCAAACTAAACCCCCATAGGTTGATCTTACAAAGATACTTGATATACTTTTAAAATATAAGGATTTCTGTAGTCACCTTGGACCTCAAATGTTAAGCATGTTAGTGTCTAAATCTCCTGGCACCAGTATTCAGCGATGTGCTAAGAACTGTACTTCTCATCTGGAAAATAAATTTCAAGGCATTCTTAAAAGAAAAAGACTAAAGGTATGCCTCCCTCCCATATCCACAGTCTCATCATCTTCTTTTATTCTGGCTATTGAACACTGAAGAAAATTGTCAAAGGATCTACTTGCCTGGCAAAAATTTGAAGTTCCTACATAAGACTTGGTTGTCTATACAGATACACCAATAGTGAACAATTCATGTTATTTACACTGGAGGGGATGACCTTTTCATAAGACTTTGTAGGACATTCCTCAAGAATAAATCATTTTCAAATAAAGGAAAAAAAATTATGATCAGCTCACTAGGTTGAACATATCTAATACTGATTTCCAAAAAGAGTTGTTTGTTATTGCCTAAAATTTAGATTTTTAAAAGCTTAGTTTTTCTTTTTATAAGTCATGATGTTGTTTAAATATGAGTTTGGAATATATGGTTAACATTATAATCCTTTGTGAAGTTGAGGACACAAAGTTGACTAATGGACTCTATGTTCAGCTTTATTCCAGAGCTACTCTCCCAAGCCAGATATCTGTGCTAGCTCTTTCAGTTCCTTTCTATATACTATAAGCTTCCTAGCTTCTTGGACTAAATCACAGAACTAATATAATAAAATCCTATCATAGGAGCTGGAGAGATGGTTCAGCAGTTAAGAACACTGGTTGCTCTCTCAGAGGTCGCAGGTTTGATTCCCCATCACCCAAATGGCAGCTCACAACAAACAGTCTATAACTCCGGTTCTAGGGGCTTCAGTGTCCTCTTTGGGCCTAATCAGGCACCAGGTACACATGTGGTGCACATACACACACACACAAACACACACACACACATATGCAGGCAAATATACACATAAAATAAAAATAAATCTTTAAAAATCCTATTATACACTTCCCTCTGCTTCCCTGGGCCTGCACGAACCACTAGCCTCTCTCCAGGACCAACCCAGTTCCTCAGTGCAGTCCCCAGGAGCCCTTGGGGCCTCTTTCCACCTCCATCTTCCTTTGCATCTATGAGTGTCACAGCCACCAGCTGCCCGAGACCTGCACTTTTCCTAGGCCTTGCTCCCAGGCCAATCCAACCCCCCAATTCCTGAGGCCAAAACCTTTCCTGGAGGGATCCAGACCTTAGGAGAAAGCCTGAGAGCATCTGATCCTCATCTCACTTGGGCCTCTGTGGGAACTCCTGAAGGCAAAGGCAATCTGGCCACTCCAGTATAAAATCAAAAGAAAGAACCAGAAGCTTAGACGAATGAGCTTTTCATGCCCCAAAAGTAAACCACAAAGGCACATAAAGTTTACAAAAAGAAGCAGACCTAAACTTGAAGGCCCGAGTCTCACACAAGAATCAGAAACTACAATATATTCACATGTCAAAATCACAGAGAAAAAATAATAACATGAAAACCCAAAATAACATATCCCCACCAAATACAAATAGTCCTTTAGAGGAGTACAGTGAGAAACCCCTAGAGATAATGCAGGACATGGAACTCAAAAGAACAATTATAAACATGATAAAAGAATTCAGTGAATTTAAAGAACACACAAAGATATCAAAGAACTGGAGCAAGATAGGGATAAACTTCTGAATGAAATCAGAAAAGAGCTAGAAATATTGAAGACTACTCAGGCTGAAATGAAGAAAGAAGTGAAACACTCAGTAAGCCAATTAGAAACGACAGGAGAGAGCCTCACAAATAGGATGAATGAAATGGAAGACAGAATATCAAGACTGAGAGATAAAGTGGATGAACTAGATTACTCAAGCAAAGAGTATGAAAAATTTAAGAAAGCACAAGAATGGAATATGCAGGAATTGTGTGACACCATAAAAACACCAAACCTATGAATCATAGGCATACAGGTAGGAGAAGAGTCCCAAGACAATGGCATGGACCAGATCTTCAACAGAATTGTAGAAAAAAATTACCCCAAAATTAAAGAAAAACATGCCCATACAAATACACAAAGCATATAGAACACCAAATAGACAGGACCAGAAAAGAAACTCTCCATGGCACATCACAGTAAAAACACTA